TTTGTGTCTATTTACAAGTCTCAATCCCATGAGTCTCGCGATTAATAAGGCAGTCTGATATCACAATTGATAATTGTAATTGATCTTTTGTAAATGTCTAAGCTTTTATTTTACCAGTTTAAATGAAATAATGATTTCAACCCTTCAATTGATAATTCAAAGTTGTTCAGAAAAAAAATTCATTCTTAAGACACCTAGTACCAGAAGCCACTATTTAGTGAGGAATGTTCCATTGTTTAAAGTCACTTTAAATGATATGATCTACATCAGCGATACTCCAACTTGTTTTGCAAAGACATCCTTGTCAGCATAAAAAAATTTGAAACCTTTTACGTGTACTCCACTAGAATCCGGCCTATAAGCGTTAAACGGAAGGTTGGCTGAACGAAATTCGAAAACGAAAAATTGTGTTTGTAGAATTTTGTAGCTATGATAAATGATTTGCAATAAGTAAAATTACACTAAGTAAATTTTAACAATAAATTGCAGTCGAATATGGCATTGAATGATTTAGTAATGTTCGTCTGGTTAGAATATATGACATTCAAATCGAAAAGATGAACCGTGAACATACAATGTTAATTTTTATAATTGAACTAAATGTCTTTTTCTAAATGCCCATAATACGACAAAAGGAGACGATAATTACATTTATCAAGATTATTTAATTTTTTTTTGTTGAATATAAGTGTTATTTGGTAACTTATTTTCGAATGTACAAGTTTCATGTCCATAAATTCAAAAATTGAAAAAAAAAAATTACCAAATCTAACTTACAATACTAACAAAAATAATGTAAGCGTCGGATATGATAAGATAAGGTTTATTTCAAGTAGGAATTAAAAAAACTTATGTTATATTATAAAAGTTGTGTGATTTAGACCACACGAAAGAAGTGAAAACATCAACAAGACGAGATTAATAATGTGAAATATAAATTATAAATGATAGCTCACTATAAAGAGAATGAAATGCTGAACATTTCCCTCGCTTACAGTATGCAGGTCCGATTTCTGAGAGATTTTAATTCATATCTTCAATAGAATTGGTTATCATTTGTTTTCGGATATTATTTTTCTCCTGTCGCCTCCGGTGCGTTAGGATACAATTTTGAATAGGAGCTCACAAAGAGGATGAAATGATGAACATTTCCCTCGCTAACAATGTGCAGGTTAATCGCTAACGATTTTTAGTTTTGTAATTTTTTAATCCAAATGCAAAAACGATTCAATTAGTCAACTCAATCTGATTCACTCAAAAAAGTGTAGAACGTGCATAAACAAGTTTTCACTTTTAAAAAAAATCGCGCTACTTTCATAGCCTTTTTTTATGATATTTACAACTGTATTAATATAAATACATCAAGTAAATGTGTACACAGAAATATATTCACATGAAAACGCTCGTAGAGAAACTACCCGCTGGTAGCACTTTAATAATACATCTACATAAGGAGATCACGCGGCCATCTTTTTTTCAGATGCCTCGGAGGATTGTCAGGAATCGAACAGGAAACAAGGTTAGAAACGAGAGGGTTGGGATGATTCTGAAGTTTATTCTGGAAGGATAGGTATCTTGGATTGGGCCAGATCTGAAACAAAAGAAACATTAAGGTCATTATGGATGGTTTTATTTGTAACAAAGTAGGGAGCATTGAGGATTTTACGAAGGATTTGGATTGGATACGAAATGAATTCGATGGTTTAGCGGAGCCACATAGCTCAATTCCGTAATTTTAAATAAGTCTTATTATAGTCATGTATATGAATCTTTTGTAAGTTTAGATTGTTTGTCTAGTAAGTGTTGGAGTAAGCGGAAACGTCGAGGAGTTTCTTGTCGTTTCAGTCTTGTATGAGGATTTCAAGTGAGACGTTTGTCCAGGTGGAGTCCTTGTGTATTAAAGTGTATGGGTGTTATTAAAGGATACTGTAGGACAGGAAGTCATAGGTTTACGGCAAATTTTGAATATCAAACGTATTTCGTCATTTGATTCAGTACTGGGCCTATTAATTACTGCTCTCCATTGAACATTAAGTAATAAGTGAAAGAAATATAGGGAAATATTAAGATGAAAAGGCTTTTTTTCATACTGGTATTGGCAAAAATCGCACTACCATCACCAAATATAATTCAATATTAGATTAAGTACGAAAAATTAAATGAAGTGCTACACCTCATTGAATTTAATAAAGATAATTGATTCCAGAGAATCAACCATGTTTTTTTCTACTTGAAGGCGGTGCCCAATTCGAGCACTTTAAAAGAACACCTGGGACCCAATTCAAGTTCATCCAATATAGAACTAAAAATATTTCATACCACAGATATGCCGATAGTGAAAATATAATATCTGAATTCGTTTTTGGTTTAATAAACCTTTGCCTATATATTAATTTAAATGTAATTGATTTTAATTTTAATTCTGTTATTAAAATTTAACAAACAGTATAATTTTCAGGTGTTGTGTATATATTTTATTTTTTATTTAGTACTACATTACAAGCGTTGCTCCAACTTCGTAGGTGCCACAAGATCTTATGGTCATACTATAAATGGAATTCCGAGAACGGCCGAATGTATACGAAAGAAGGCGGAGACTCCCGAACATTCTGGTAAGGCCCCGACCTCAACTGAAAAGGACCCGTTGAGCAAGTTTGTTCCTTTTGAGCAAGTTGAGGTCCTATTGAGTCGAAAGCAGCGATGTAATTAAAGCTATTTAAGGTCTCGATTTTAACAGAAAAAGACCAGTTGGGAGTTCGCAGAAGTCGTAAATCGGGATCTAAATAAAGGGTAATATAGCGTGAACACCTTGTCAATACTCGGCCGTTCTCGGAATTACATTTATAGCCCGATCGTGGGATCTTGGTTCTCTCATCAAACCCTATTACAGCAGTACCTTTAATTTATTTGATATATTATTTATGTATTTGTTCATGTTATTTTATGCAATGGCTTAAATATGACTGATTTACAATACTAGTTGTTGTTTTTTTATGATTTATAAAATAATATAATTTTATTTACTCAATTGAATGCTTGATATACTTAGTGTTTAATTTATCCATTTTCTATTCTGGCCATTAAATTCAATTCAACCAAGTCCACGTAGATATGCTGACAGGTCATGGGAAAAGATGGAGGGAGGGACAGAGGACCTGAGTGCTGAAGCCTCTCTTCTCAAATAGAAAGAATTTTTTTAAAGGATTTATCTAATTTTGTTTCTGGGATTGATCTGTGTTAAATACTCAAACAATCACAATATGTCCTTATTAAAATTCTAAAACGTGCACATAAGGACACGTGTCAAGAAAAAAATATATAAACATTATTATTCCTGTTGTTACCATTATTATTAATTTTTTTTATCAAGCCTTCAAGGACTACTTAAACATTATTTAATACATTTCATATATATTTTTTTCTTCTTGAATAACTACCATTAAAAAAAAAAATACTAAATTTACTATACTGAGGAATATTTTAAACCTGTTTTCTTCAAATTACTTAATTGCCTGCTAATTCATTATTTGATGGTTTCAACTTAGAACTGTATTTTAATCAAAGGTTAAAACTAGGAAAAATGTTTTAAAGATTGTAGTTCTAAGGAACTTTTTTTGTAATAGAGTTCCAAGTTTATGGTAACTATAATAGTTTACCTTCTAATTTTTTAGATCTACTTTTTAGGGAAATCGACAGAGCTGTAAAATACAAGTTGTTTTTAAAATACCAATTCTGTAAAACCTTTACTTAAAATGTTATAAGTAAAAATTGATAGTTAAAAATGAACTGCAAAACTGTCAACAATAAAAATTTCAGTGACACCATTTTTTTCATTTTCAACCCCTGACGGGCGTAATAACCATGCAATTTATCGTACTAAAATCCCTACCCAACCTATCCTGTGTTAAATTTATTTTACAAAATGAAAGATTTCCTAATATATTTATTGTTTGTATCAGACCTGAGAAATTTAATTTAAAATACTCACGCATAATGTAGGTACATGGTTACAACTGGTTGCTATAAAAATTTATAATTTGCTTTATTAAGTATTATTATTTATTGTTTTTTATTTAATATTTTTTATAAGGATATCAGTTATGAAGGGAGGGCACAGTATATGTGGTTTTGAAACAATTAATTATGCAAAACAAATTTATTAAATCAACATTTTCTTTAAAAAGTTATAATTAACCAACAGACAACTGAATAGACTAGGTAGATATTAATTCTGAACCTTTTTGCCAATTTGTTATTGTATAGTATCCGTTCTTTAAACAATTGATCATTTAACAATTTCATTCTGAGAGCATCCAACAAATTAGATAACTAAAACTTACCAATTTTATTGTCAAAGATAAATAAAGAAAAAATTTAAAACCATCAAACTTCAATTCAAATTTTGAAGCTCAATTTTCATGGGTGAGTTCTTGTAAGAAAAATAGCTTCACTACATACAGTTATAGGCGCCCTCTGCATTTGCTAATGTATTTTATGAATTTAAAATACAAAATAAAATACATTTCAATGTGTTTTGTATTTTCAAATGATAATACAGTTAAAAACAATATATTTTATTCTGAACCTCTTCGGATATAAAATACATAAAACGTATTTTATTTCGTATTTTAAAATACCTTATTTTAAGTGCTGCCTAAGTCCTGTTTCTATCATAAAATCTATTTATATTCATTCTCCTCATTATTTGGTTGCGTATATCTTAGGCCTAAATTAAAAAGTCAATTATGTATTAGTTATTACATTTAAAGAGAACTTTCTGGTTTATTCTATTAAGTCTACTTAATCCGTTTTTCGTGGTATAGTTTATCAAACCTCATGTGATTCAGAATAAGTTCCTTTGAGTGGTATCGTCACAAAAGCGTTGTTACCGTCTAAAAACCTTTTTAAAACCGCCGACGCAAACTAATGACTAGATTATTCTGGGAAGGCAGTTCTACTGAATCACATGTTGCGTTGGAGCCATCCCCACTCCTCTTTCCCTTTCTTTACTCCATTCAGTTTGTGTCAAGTATTCCGAGGGGTTAGATGTCGTTTGTGGCCTGTGTTCGTAACGAAGTCTCAAACCCCCTCTGTATAGAGTCGAGATCATTATTGTTCTCGTAGCATGTGTAACGGAGTTTTAAGTGATTGTCGGAATTGCCGTTGATACTTGAAGGATTTTGCCCTGGATTACATGGGTTGAAATTTTATTATCTGCTTTGAGAGATTTTCTTTCTGTGTAAAGGTAAATTACTAATTTATTTTATTTTTATTTTTATTCGTTGTATGAAAGCAATGTTGTTAATTATAATTATGATTAAATTTGTAATATAACCTCGTAATTAAGAAAACTTAATGAATTTAGGAAATTGTATTAATTATCATTTTGTGAAATTAAGCTTTTTAAGTTTTTATAATCGAAATCGCTGAGTCCCTGAACTAGACTAAATTGCGAGGGAAAAATATAAATTCCTTAATCACTTCTTCGAAATTGATAAAATTGTTTTAAATTATTTTTCCGCGTATTTCATAAAGGTATTCAGGAATTGTTTAAATTATATTTCATTAATGTTTTATAATTTTATTACTATAATTGATAAAACTCATTTATCATAAGTTTTTTAATGGCTTAATGTATTAAATATATTAAATGCACTAAATATAAATTGTAAATAATTTCCGTTAGTTTTTTTCGTTGCAATGAATTATATATTTGATTGGCTGTTAATTTTGGCGTTCAGAGAGAGCATGATGTAAAGCCACCTGCCCGGAAAACTGAAGTCCGAGAATTTGTTTCCCGCTTCCTGGTCACTCGGCCTTCCCGGTTCTCATTGTGTTAAATAAATGTTCTTTGTGCTCTGTTATTAATACATCAAAAACAACGGACGTTTTCCCTTAAACATTTTACTCATAACAGTATTCAATGATGTAAACATTTCAAATGAGCTTCAAGGAAAAAAACGTGTTTCCAGTTATTCGATTGATTTAAACGTTTGTACGCAATTGTGACTCATTTTTTTAACTACAATGTCAAGTAGTAATTAGTCATTTTGTAAACATTAAATTTAACACTTTTTCCCTTTATTGATTTTTAATTTATTGACGAGATATATTAATATTTAATAATTATGCTAAATGTGCATAGTAGAAATGAATAAATTTGATTTATTTATATATATATATATATATATATATATATATATATATATAATTTGCTCTTAAATATACGTTTAACGGTCAATTATTGATCCACTATCATATTTCTTTTGATTCCTGGGAATTTCATAATTCTTATTATTTGAGCTTTAATTAATTTATTATTTAATTGTTTTTAATAAGCTTACTGCTAGAATTAGTATTACCTTGATGAAATTAGAAAAAAAAAATGGTTTTTTAAAGTACTAAAAGCTGTTTTTTTATGCCATGTTTTTGAAATCATGTTTTTAAAGTAGTGAATCTCCCAAATTGATTTCGCGGAAAAAAACGCCATATTTGCATTGTTAGTAATTTTATTTCTTCCGGGCATTGTTAAGATTAAATTCTAATCTGGAATGGAAAGTTCATATCTTTAATAAGAAAAAAATATCAGTCTTAAATCTAGGTATATTATTTTCTACATTTTTTTTTTTTTAAATGCTTTCACAGTTTCTTTTTTTATATTTTTTATAGGTTTAAAATATAATAAATTTCGCTTAACTTAATTTTCAGATCGATTTAGTAAGCATTGCTTTCAAGTTTTATATAATTCCTATGCATATTTAATATTTCATATTACAAAGCCCTTTTGACCTGAATAATCTAATTCTTTGATATAGAATCCTCTCTTCTCAAGTCTTAACAGATAAAAAATAAAAGGATATAGGACTGTTCTGCTTTGGAAACTGACGAAGCATAACTTCTTAGAAGCTTTTAACATGATAATTTTCTATTATAAGTTTGGTTTCACTTTAATCCCCTTTTAAAGTACTCCCATTTGTTCAACGTTTCGTAGAAACACCCACGTGCCTTTATTACTCTTTAAATATATTTAGTTGTTTATTGTTTTTTTAATGTTGATTTTCTTAATCGGGATAGTTGTGTTGCATATGATAATCGCTTTATTTAAACTCATATCTCTTGTAGATTCTGTGGTACCAAGTTATTTAATCTTTTGCGTTTAGTATTGTCAAAAATCGTGTCTAATTAAAACATATATGACGATTTCTGTTTTACTGACGAATAAATTGCATGAACAGAAAACGTTTTTATATTAGAAACTGTACATTTATCACTAATTATTAATAGTAGTACATATTAATTCACGATCATTTTCCTTTAAAATATTTAAGTTAGTGTTTTTTCAATACCCACAGATGTATCCTTATATTTAGAGACTTCACCATTTAACTCTAAAAACCACGTGGTAACAAAAAGCCTCTTCCTTTAAAATTAACTTTCACATAGTAAATGTATGTATTATTGATTTTTATTGATTTTTATTAATTTTGTTTATCAGGGGAAAAATCAGTAATAAACCGTCGATTCCTCATAAATAGCCATTTTACGTGAATGATGTAGATGATTTAGTTTTTTGTATTAATTTATCAATATAATTGTAACATACATGTTGTACCTACCCCATAACAAGTTTTTCTTAGTCCGTGGTACAAAACCCTTTTTTATCGAATTATTAACATCCGGCTTTTGTATTTTAACATCATCTCATTGTAATCTATTACGAAAACTCTGAATTGGAGAGTTTTCAATCTGGAGGTCGACAAACTTTTTCTGTTTAATTAGATATTAAAAAACGCCTAAATACCCATTTTATTTCCTCGTGGATCATAAGATTATTTTATTACAAAATCCATAAAAAAAAAAGTTGGGCAGTTTGTCCTATATGACCTTGTTATTTTGACAATTTGGGGGTGTAGGTCATTCCAAACGGCTCAATATTTTTGAAGGTCGCCTTTTTTCTTGACTTTGTGCTACAATTATTTTACGATTCAATTGGAAAACAAATGGGTATGGTATTTACAAGTTTTTTGCAATGTTTGCCGAACTCCTGATCGAAAACTCTCCAATTCCGAGAATTTTCATAAATAAAATATTTGTAGGTTAAGATGAGATGAAGATATTTACGAAGTTTCAGCCGGAAGTTAATAATTTGATAAAAATGGGTCTATACTACGGACTAAGTATGTTTCGTTAGTATTGCTGTATAAATTATTATCTTTATTTATTTAATATTTTCCTTTTTAGCATTTTGTTTTTTCTTTTTTTTTTTATTTTATTTGTTATTTATGTGTCCATTGTTCTTAAAAGTCCAAATATTTTATATGATTTGTAAAAGAAAGGCTATGTGTTTTGCTAGGTGGCAGCTTCATCGACTGGTCATAGATAGGTGATGACGATGATGCTGATAGATAGATCGTCATCTCTAAACGAACAGATAGGACGCGTCATCTTGACAAGTGAGTTCACAGAAATGTATTTTTAATCCGTCTGTGATGTCCTTTGTAACATATCCCCTTATTTGCTTGCCTATTTTACTTTAGCATTGTGTTGTCCACATCTGTATATAATAATCATTGTAAAACCGCATTATCGAAAAATTTATTTTATATCCTTAGTAAAGAAACTCAGCCATATATATACCTGTGTATGTTCTAAGTTTTGTTATTTTGATTTTGATTATATACCAACACTGTACTTCAGTATATACTTGTTCACTTTACTTGTACTTCAGCTAGAGCAAGAAGCACTATTTATTCAACAGGTAATCATCAACCTTCCTTCAACCAACCCAGTCAGAGTAAAAATTTCCATGATGCTCGTCAACTTATTTAAAATAATAAAAAGCATGTAGTTTTTTTTTTTTTTTTACCAACCCTTTTTTTTAATCTTGTGTATTATAAAAAATTGTTAGTAATAAAATATATAGTATCAATCAACTTTCTATATCTAAATGATAATAATAATCTGAGAAGGAGTTAGTTGAGGGTGCGGTCAAATAAATAAAAAAATTAAAATATATAAATAATTTTAATATTTAATTTTAATTTAATTTTATATTTAATATTTAATAAATAATTAAAATTATTTATATATTTTAATTTTTTTATTTATTTGACCGCACCCTCAACTAACTCCTTCTCATATCATATCAACGGTCAACCATCTCTACATCATGATAATAATAATCCGATTTTCTGAAAATTTTCAATTCCCTACATCAATTCGATTTCCGCCTTGTCGTAAATCTTTTGGATGAGTTAATTATTTAGCAATTCAAAAAAAAAACTTAATTCGTTATTGAATCCATATAGGGTATTTCTTCTACATTTAATTTTTTTTTCAATACTTTAAAATAATCCAATTAGTTCAATGTATTGTTGGTTTATTTTAGAGTTTTTAACATTTTTTTTTATTTATTATTTTCATATTATTTTGTCATATATTCATGTTGTAGTAATATTCATAATAAATGATCAAATATTATGTATTTATTTTCCCTTATTGCTAAGGCGATAACTTTCTCTCTTCAAATTCTTTAAATAAAATATATGTACGAATGTTATTAGAGATTTTTACCTATCCCCGAATTAAATAGCTATTTTGTAATAGAATAGTATATTACTTATTAAATGAATAAATATCAAAATATGTCCATTTTATTAATGTACTAGTTAAAGATGTTAAACATAGTTATATACATGTTACATGATTTTCAAAGCAATCTAAAAACTCTTCCAAGTTATATTCTTATGAAATGAACACATTTCCAAAATTCCTAAAAGTATTTTAACTGCCTAAGAGAAAATTGTCTACAATCTTTTCACTCTTATTTTATCTCTCTGCCCAATCTCGATATTTCTTCTTATGAAATAGAGTAAGCCATCTGGTTTACTTGACAAAGGGCTTTGCGAAATTCGTAAGTTATTATTTTTATAACCATTTTTTTTCTCACAGCTTCCCTTTTTAATTCATTTATTATTATATTATGCCCAAATATTATTGAAATATTCAATAATGATTAAATATGTAGCAAAGAAAATCGTAATTTATATTTTTGAGATCACATATGATGAATTATAATTACGAATTTTTTGACTGACCACCCCAACTATTCTTCTCTTCATTATCCACGACAGTCAACCATTTACCAATTATGAATTATAATTACATTTGTTCAACTCATTCGTGTATTAAATTTTCAATTATTAACTGTTTTATCATCATCTGTCCAGGATTTAGCCGTCCGTGGGACTGTTATTCAACAGTTTCCATTGACCATTAGATTATTCTTGCTTGTATAACCTCTTTTAGAGAGAGGTAAATCTGTTTCTGACATATCTATTTGCCAGTTTCATTTTGTGTGTGACCACATACGTTTGTTAAGCCGTGTATGTTCAATAAGGATGGAGGTTGCCCAGGTAGACAGTTGTAGATTTAGAGGGAGCTACTATCGGTCCTGAAAACATGGCCGACCGAGGCTTCCAGGAAAAGACTCACTCCGCCTCTTATTAGAGGCGAAGTACATTTCCGAGAATTCCTGCCCCAAGCGCTCCGTCTCCCCTCCATGTGTTTTAAAATCCAAGGGATATATCTTTCTCATATTTTATTTCGTTCTCTGGCGAATATTTTCCTCGCTAAAGGCCGCTCTCTACCTATCTGAAAAATGATAGTTTCATGAGCTCTTAGTTGTTGATTAAAACTATTATCGATGACCTTAAAATGAGTTATATTTTTAATTTATCTAAGAATTTATATAAATCTTAACTTTGCATACTACTATACCCGTGCAACACACATGTTTATTCAAATATACAATATAATATCTAGATGTCTAGTAACCAGTAACAATTGGTGTAGCTTTCTAGTATCCCAAGACTTCAAGTTACAATTTACTTAATAAGAGGTTTACTAACGGATCCAGGATTTAATTTTGGTGAAGTCTTCAGCCCGAAAGATTTTTTTTTTGTGTGTGTATTTATTAAGATAATTACTTCGGAAAAAAGAAAGAAATTTTGCCATTTTGGGAGGGGGGATGCTTCTGCCCGAAAACCCTCCTTCCCATAGATCCGCCTCTGAAGAGATTAGTTGTCCCTAAGGAAAATATTCCACCAGTCCCGTTGTACAGCAAAAGGACACATCCATCCCGAAAGTTGGACCAATCCATTAATGCTGTACTCGCTTAAGACTTATGTGTCAGGTACAGAAGTGTCTTGGTTTGTATTCTTACTAAGAACCAGCGGTACCCATTTCCCTTAGGTTGAATTTGCAAAAACCTCCTTTCCCCTGCTTCTTTGTCCTTGCCCCTTTGTGAGTCTTTACTAAAAATTTTATGTAAAGTAGTGTTAAGGGAACACTTGTCCCGTAGGCGAAAATTCCGAACGAAATTTATTTTTTTTATGTGAAACAAAAAGATTAGCCTGCTGCCTTCTGAATTTTTCATCTTGATTCAGTCAATAAAATTAGTTTATATTATAATGTGTTATTATTTATTTGAAATTCATCACCTAAAATATTGTTTAACTTTATTCGAAGGGGGTAGATGTCAAAAATAATCTTGTCCCTTGTGAAGTGTTTCGTCTACCTATTACCTTCCAGTGTCTCCTCAATCTTAGATTAGTAAAAATGTATATCACTTACTATATACAATAATTATAATATAATATCTCATGTCCCAGAAGCAAACCTTGAAATTTATGTTGGGAGCAATTTTCCACCCGGCTTCATCGTTTTAGCGTCATAGATATCTTATCTGCATTTGAGCGTCCTTGTTACGCATGATTTAATTGTCAAGCATGGCTGTAAATGATGCAATAAGTTTGACGTATATCGACATTTTTTCTAAAATTTATTTAAATTACTCTTACACATTTTTCCTTAATATTAATCTTATTTTACAATTTATTGAACTTACGTTGAATTAATGGTTACTTCTGTTATAGTGCCAAATATAACTTCAGTGTCTTTGTTTCACCAGTAGATTATTAACCAAAACTAATTACCTGAAAATATTAATCCAACGACATTTAATTAATATGCTGGGTGTTGGGTGAGTTTGATGTTCATGGGAAGACTTGTCTAGTATGTATAATTTTATTTCGAGTAAAAATAATTTATCTAATAGATCTAATTTTAATTTTTCGTTTTTATTACAATTTTATATATGTATATAACATATTTCTTAATTCCATCTGACTGCTATGAAATGACTGTTTCATCATTCCACCTTGAAAACTGCCTCCTCTACCAATGTAAAAAAAATTAATAAACAGCGTTCTTTTTAAGGAAATCAATTACGAAAAAAAGATACGTTCCACGAGAAAGAAATTCACTTAAAATTCCCATCCCCTTTATGAGATTTTTTTTAAGCTGACTTCGCTTTTTGTTAATTCATTAAAAGGAATGAAACGTTTCGTGATTTTTTTTTCTTACTTTATCAAGATACTCTAGACACTCAGAACGCATGGATATTGGAAAATGTCGATATATAGTAAGATAAAATTGTACATGACGATACTTATGATAACTATTTTTATATAACCTTATATTGATGTTAAAACTTACTTTCGGAATATATATTTTATACAAAAAAATAAAAACTACTGAACAAATTAATTAGATTATTGATATTTTTTTTTTAATAATTCCTGATATATCGGTTTAACGTTTTTGTTCAATCTTTTTTCTTTTAGAATGGAAAAAAGAATCCTTTTCATCAATAATTACTAATTCAATTTTTATATTCTTTATTTGTTTACGTTTAGCAAATTAAATTTATTTAATTCTCTAGTCCCTCGTAACAGATCTTTTTAAGAATAAGGATTAATATGTTTATTGGTTTTTTAGGAATTTATTTAATATTCATTTATTCCCATATTTTTAATAGTTTATATTCAAGCTTTTTAATTAATTTTTTTCGAATTCTAGTTCCTAGAAATAAGTTTCTGTTTATTTTATTGAGCAATGTTTATAAATTGATTTTTCATTTCTTTTTTAACGATTTATATAAATATTTAGTTGTTCAAAATCTAATCCTCCTTGATTTTTTAAATATTTCTTTCTATTTAATTCCTATTTTTTACTTACCCTAACCTATATATGTAATACATAGTAAAGTATTGCGATCATGAAAATTTTCGAATCTGAGTTTTCAACGGCAATACACGTTTTGAGTTTGCATGGGTTCAAAAGTCCCGAAAAATGGTCTATGTGTGTACGCATTCTTGTGTGCGTGTGTGTGTCAAAAATGAAAAGTACGGAACTGGTATTACATATTTAAGATAAGTATATGCCCGGGATGCAACAGCAACTTTTTCCTGAAAATCGGTTCACCGAAAGTGGCACCTAATATCATCTAATATATCACCTAATATCACCTAATATTATATATATTTTTACTATTTTCTATTCAAGGTACATTGGTAAGTGAAATTTGTGTAATGCATGCACCAGATTTGTT